TAGCTCACAGCAACCTCAAACTCCTGGGTTCAAGCGATCCTCCTGCCTCAGCCTCCCAAGTAGCTGGGACTACAGGCATGCACCACCATGCCCGGCTAATTTTTTCTATGTATTTTTATTTGTCCAGCTAATTTCTTTCTATTTTTTTAGTAGAGACGGAGTCTTGCTCTTGCACAGGCTGGTCTCAAACTCCAGAGCTCAAATAATCCACCTGCCTCGGCCTCCCAGAGTGATACCACTACCTTTATGCTTGTCCAAAGGGCACAAATAAAAACCTTTCTTCATTTCTGCCATTTTATTCTCTTTTCATTTCCCAGTCCCCCAGATTGTCGTATTATCTGCTGTATATTTCTTTAACATGAGTGAGATCCTTAAATTTAAAAAAGTCATGCAATTATCATTAAACATGTATTCTCATTGCAACTCTGTTACCTTCTGGCAGTTATCTAAATTTTGTTGGCAAACTCCATTTCAATTTATGTATGCTTCCTTTATACCAATCCCATTCATATATGGTTCTATGGTTTTGTTCCTCATATCAATCTTCATGATAATTTAAACATTATTATTTAGGGAAAATAATGCATGCAATCTAAGCTTGAATACAGTAGGACATACTGTATGTAAGGCTCTGTGTTCAGAAGCTGGAGAATTTTCATTTCAGTTATATGCTAAATCCCAGGAATTCAACAAGCCCAAGAGAAAACCACCTTCAGCCACACTGGCAAAAGAAAAAAGAAATACATGAAAGCTTTTTTTTTTCTTTAAAATGTTTATCTTATCTTCTACAGAAGTCCTCAAAGCTCACTCACTTTTTTTTTCCCTAACTTTTTATTTTTAAGTAATTAGAGTTTCACAGGAAGTTATAAGTGAAATGTACAGGGAGGTCCCATATACCTTTTACTTAGTTTCTCCCAGTGGTTACACTTTATGTAACTATAGTACATTATCAAAGCCAGGAAATTATTGATGTTTTAATTCACTTTTAAATTTGAAAAAGAAAAACAATCCAGCCTAGACACAACCTGGACCGTTTTAATTTACATTCTACATTTTGTTCTTATTTATAAGTGATAATCATGCAGACAATCCTGATAAACAAAGGATGGTATGTCCATATAGCCACGGAGAATGGTCCCCCATATTGTTGGAGTTGATACTCAGGTCTCATTTAAATCCTAGGTCAATGTTATGGCAGAGGAGTGGGAGGCAGTCCATATCAGAAGACGGGTTGAAATTTGGTTCTGCCTCCAAGTGTGTGACTTCGAGCAAGTCACTTGACCTTTCCAAACTTCAGTGTCTTCGTCTATAAAATGGAGAAAATATTTCTCCTGCCTACTTCATAGGGTTGTTGTGAGGAGCAAACATGATGATGTGTATGAAGAGGTGAGGTAGGCTATGAATTAGCAATCAGAAAGTTTCTATTTTTTTTTCCTAAAATTATTGCCGGTTATAGAAGGGTAATTTTTCAGAGATGGTCTTATTCTTTGAAACAAAACACAACTACCTCCTTATTAGACATGTGGCTTAGAATTTCTATCATATGTAAATGACCTTCCCTTTCTACCACTTTTAGTAGGACAGGTACTAGCAAGGTATCTAACAAGCTCTGTGTGACTCATTGCCTACACACCCTGAGGCATAGGATCTATTTTAAAATAAATATTTCTTAACGTTTTATTCTGTAAGGTTGAATACATTTTAAGTAGCTTTTATTTTTATCCTGAATACAGGACTCATTCTTACTTTTTTTCCATGCCTTGAGATGTATAATAGGTGCTCTTGACAATAGTGAGAGATTATAAGGACACAAGATTAGACGGAGGATGGTTTATGAAGTAAAAATGGAAATCATCCAAGCTGCATTGTTCCTTGTTTTGTCTGGATATGTAATGTATACTCCCAACTCACTGGTGGATTCTGGTTTGTGGGTAGTAAAAAGCTAGTCTTGGCAGTAAGAGGGGAGAAATATATAGAAGAAAATGAACTTCAATTGTGGAAAGTATAGATAAAAGTCTTCATGTGCACTAAATGTTTTGGGCACCACAATAAAAATGTTAATATCTGTTTTATTCCTTCTCCTCCTCTATGTACAGGCTGGCATGGCTCTGACCTATGACCCCACAGCTGCCATACAGAATGGGTAAGTAGACCACATTGTCTCTATTTTAAGTGTTAAGAGACCTTTGAGCTCTGAATCAGTGCCAAAGCAAAATGTTAAAATCGGTTTTGCTTTTATTTTACATCTTCGAACACAAACTTTAAACCAAACATTTCTGAACATCGTAATTTTTTTCTTCCTATAATTGAGTCTGATCTCCCAGTCTCACAATGCCACTGCCCACATTAAACCCTCCTCTCTCTCTCTCTGTCTCTGTGGAGTATAGATAACACTAGGATGAGAGAATTATCTGTGTGTCCCTAGGACAAGTATGTTGTCCTACTAATAATTCTAGAGTTTATCTTTCAATAATATTTAGTGTGTGCCCAAGCCTGTTTCTACATTAATCATGCGTTTGCTCTTTCCTTCTGGTGATCAGGGAAATTGTAATAGACGGAAGCCAAGTTAGTAACTCAAGTGATTGTACCTTCATTCTTCATTTTAATAAGCATCTGGAAATTTGTAGCCTCTTACTCTTACTTAGAACAAATCATATAGCTCACAATTTATCCTCTGAAAAATAAGACTGTTAAACTACATGGTCTCACCTCTCTAAAATTCTGTGAATTCTGAATATCTTTGGTTGAAACTTTCTCCTCACTTCCTAATCTCTTTTCTTTGCTTTGGCTTTCTGACAAATGATAATGATTATTTTTTGGTTGCTTGCTTGGTTTATTTTCATAACCTTTTATTTTGGACTTCTCTATGGCTTTCAGTTGTCTGTCTTTCAGTCTCATTAAAGAATCAGTTATGATAAAGGCCTCCTTTAAGGTCAATATAGAGAGTAGAATGAATTAAACTCTATTTTCTGTTTGGTCAATGGCCTCTGATGAAAATCTATAGGATATTGAAATTGTTTAAATAACTATCTCTTATTCTTATAGTTATTCATTCAGGCAATTGTTTATTTAGTCATTCAACAAACATCCAGTGATTCTACCAGGCACAGTTCTATGTTCTATCAATTTAATAAAGTAACATATGAGACAAGGCCTTTTCCTTCAAGAAGCTCCCAGTTTACTCTTCCATTAAAAAATAAACACCAGTGGTAGACCACGATAGGAGTTTAGTCCTTCAACCTTTGGTTGATTAAAACTTCCCCCTAGGAGTCAAAATTAAGGATATCCTTTCATTTATCCAATAAGCATTTACTTATTTCCAAGGAGCTATAAACTTGGTGGGTAGAAAGAAGTAAAAACATGGGGAAAATTGTCCTCTAGAATCATATTATATCGTTGGAGATAAAATATTTAAGTCAAAAGGTAAAAGTAAGGCATTATGTGCCAAGTGACAGTGACAGAAAATAAGTACTGTAACTAAAGGACATTTATTGAACACACACTATGTATAACGTACTCTATATTTGTAATTTAATGTCACATAGCTTATGAGTCAAATGAATACATGTGATAGCAATTAGAAACTTATTTTGAAAATTTATACACAGGAAAATAAAAATAATAGTTGAATGAATACCTGTATGCCCACTAATTACTTCAACAAGTGTGAATATTTCACAATATTTTGCATACATGCATGTGTATGCACATACTTATGTATTATGTATATATGTACATACCTATCTATTACACACACACACACACACACATACACACACACATCAGCTTATAAAAAGTACCTTGTTACTAAAGACTCTATATCAGGGATTAGATCCAGACATACATCACTTTTTCATTCATAAAGCTTTGATTAGGTATTTTTTGCTGGACCATATCAAAATAAAATTTAGGCAACATAATACTTTACTTCTAAATCCTTACATCTTCAAAAATAAGGACATTAGTCATATGATGACAATATCATTATCAAACAAAATGAAATTAGTACTAATTTCAAAATATCATCTATCATCCATATTATTTGCAACTTTGCTCAGTTGCCCCCACAATGTCTTTAAAGCTGGTCGATTCTGAAGCAAAATCATAAAGTCCTGTGAAAATACATAAAAAGAGTTATTTCATTTACTAATGATATCCATTTTGGGTGAGTATTAATATTCCCATTTTATAGATAAGAAATTAAGGCCACTCTGGCAGAAGTAGAGATGGGAGTCAAATGCCAGGCTCTGACTCTAAACAGAACCTGCTGTCTTTGTCCAGCTAGGATAAAGGGAAGGCTATGTGGAAGCAATGAGATTTGATATAGATAATCAAAGATCACTTAGCTTATCAA